TCTGATGACAGTTCACCATAAGATCTCACTTGGCCAGTTGTGTTCGAGTAGAGAGCCTGTATAAGGTTAATGTACTTCTTTGGTACTCCTTTCAGTGGCAAACACTGCCATAGATACTCACGATCAACAGAGTCAAATGCCGCCTTAAGGTCGAGAAATACTATTATTGTGGGACGTCTGAATTTCTATTTTCTAGGACCTGACGTAGTGTGAATATCTGGTCTATACAGCTACATCCTGGTCGGAAACCAGTCTGGTGTTCTCTAGTCTGCTCTTCAAGAGCAGATTGTCACAAGAGGACTTTTGTCCTTTCTTATAGACTGGCACAATCAGTGATTGAGATCAGTCAGATAGGATTACGTTCTGTTCCCAGATCCTACCTAAGAACTCAGTCAATCTCGCTGCTAATACTGAACCGCCATACTTAAAAACCTTAGAGGTAAACCTGTCGGGGCCTGCTGCACTCCCTTGCCTCAGATTTCCTACAGCTTTTTCAATTTTGTAAAAAGTTGGAAGGTTTACATCAACTTGTCATTCAGGTAGACTGGAGATCGGAGGAAAGCGAAGTGTGGCTGGAGGCCAGTTGAATTGATCCTTAAGGTGTTCTGATCATCAATCCAATCTCCTGGATTGGAAGTGAATAATATGTCCATCATTTTTCGAGATAGTTTCTCTGACAGTTGGATTCCTAATACCGGTTTCCTTGGGATCAAACTGTTCGAGAAAGTATCTCGGAAAAAGATGGATATATTATTCGCTCTCAGTCCAGCAGATTTAAGTATTGTACGAAGAATTTTTTGGTTATGACTAATTTCAAAACAAACTCTTCAATTCCTCATGCTAAATTACATTTGGAGGATTTCAATCAGTTCGGAAGTAGTTCAGTTGTGATAGGCGATCGTTCCACTGTGTCTGTACTTGTAAATATGAACGGCTGAACTCCAACTAAGTTGTTCTAAAGTTATCGCTCTCGTAATGGAGTCCGAATGTTTTGAGTTTTATCCTGCGTTGAGTTGTAAGTGTGGACTTTACAGTAGTCATACACTCGCTTAAACAGCCACCTAGTGCTCTCTGGTTTTTAATAGATTTTCTGTTTGTGACATGTGTTTTCGTGAAAGCTGTTTATCGATTGTCTAAAAAAACATGTATAGTAATGAATAGGTTATTTTAGGTATGCCCCCAAATGCCCTGGTACGGCCGAGAGTCCGACTCCCTCTCCAAATGCTCTCACATGGCCACGCGTATATAGCCTCTGCCAGAGAAGTCCTACTGACTGCATTCTCGTGGCATTACTGTTGTTTACGAAATTGAGAGGACGAAAAGCAAATGTCCGGCCCTTTAACTGGGTTGGTGGACATGGAGAGTTCACCTAGGGGAGTTGGAAAACCCTGACTCCAAAGCAACGGTGCACATGGGCTCCAGTATCTTGAAGGAACAAATAGCTCATGGACGAATCGTTGATCACCGGCTACCATGGGACTGCATCTCCTTACGATGCTCCACTGCCTTGTGGTCCCCTAAGAAAACCAGCCGCCTCGGTTTGGGCATCCGGGCAGTATCACAGCCCTCAAACATATCAAATGAGGTCTGTGTGGAGCATATATATTTGGTGCCTCCTTGTACCAATATCTGTGTGTTAAAATAAATAAATATTTTAGGTATCCATTCAACCTACAAATTATTCGAATATCTTTCAATTCTGTATTGAGATAGTAATATGATAGTTATCGGCCTACTTCACCTAGTACATGTTATTAAATTTCCTTGTTAATAATTATCTCCAAAGGATTCAATGAACACTTTGGAGACTTATCCAGCTTGTTGAAAAATAAAAACTGCATACAGATCGTAGATAAGCACGATGATTCAAACTGAGTCATTTCCTTCTCCTAATATGTTATATAACCAACGTTCTGTTTATATGAAATCCGGTTCATAGGATGAAGTAATGAGTTACAGGGTGAAGTTAAGCCAGAAAAACAAATTTAAAAAGATAAAACTGTTAGACTGGAGGTATTGATGATCATTACGAAAGTCAGAAAAGTCTAATTAAATCTGATTATCCAGGTATTTAGAAAAGTACCGAAAGTTTGCGGTAAAAATATATAGATGGTTTTGAAATATATGGATAATAACTGTTATAAGTATAACTACATTTTTATGAATATATATAAAGAAGATGGTAATTAAACATTTAGAGTAGACGGAAAATGCTTGGTTTATTTGAATAAAAATAACATCACATCTCTTTTACAGTTGTGATTCTCAATATGGAGGTAGTAATAAGTTCTAAGGATGAAAGTATATTATCATACATTCTGAGAGGGAAATGTTTGAAGCTAGTTTTTTATCACTTCCTGCGATTGGTTGGAGAAACAAAGAAAAGCAATCATTAGTGAAGTTATTTCGTCCCAATATGAAACTTACCAATAGTGTGCATAAGGATACACTTTGAATGAAACAATCGTGGTTAAAGCTTATTTTGGTAATAACTGACTGATTTTGAGATGAATTCACAGAATTTTGATGATAATTCGTGGGTAGTGACTTTGAGATATGCCATAATTGTCTCCTTTTATTGACTTCTTCATCTTAAGTTTTACCCTCTCGTACTCATAATCGGAAAGTTACAGATTGAGATGAATCATACTTATGTTTCGTTGTATTGTACAGTGGAATATGAAAACAAAATATTTTAGCAACTTTTCTATCTAATATCACTTGCTGTTTGAACGCGTTTATTGAGATTTGCTTTAGCTTTTATGTGACTGTAGAGACTGTTGCTCGATATTAGCTACTCCAAAACTCGTAATCTGATGAGCGTCAGGCAGTACAAAACCAAAAAACCAACCACATAGGCTTATGGAAACATGTATTCCATACAACCAATGAAAGTAAAAGAACACAAAAGTAGGGGATTTTGAAACTTGTAGGTAGTAAATCACCATTCAGTCGAAAGACAAATAAATAAGGGTGTATATTCATAGAAAGTTCAACTGAATTTTCAAGGGTGTATTAAATATGACTGCTACAGCCAAATCCAAATTTTTACCTCGAAGAAACTATACAATTCATTAGGTCCGTTTACTATGTTTTTGTAAAGATTGGATCACTTTGGGCCAAACAATCAAATCCTGCAGTTTTTATCAACTTTCTAGACAACTTCATAAAAACGAAATTTACATTGTTTATATTGATAGTTTAAAGAGATTAGGCGTAACAGGACAATATTTAACAATTGTTATTATACTTTCTCCTGGTAAATTAACCCGCATAAGATTATGGTATAAGTCAGAATATGTAGTGTTGTGACTTAACTTTCATGCAACCTATGTAGAAGAGCATTGATTGATCCTATGAAAACACACGAAACTTACTGCTGTAGATGGGATCTCTATTGTCAGGATTTTACTCAAATATGTACCAATCAGATTGTTTGAAGTGTGATGTCTTTTAAAGACTGTTTTGTGAATGAGAAATAAATCGCTCTTAGTAAATTTACACAATTATTGTACATAAAACATAATTATTATTGTTTTATGAACACTGCCCATAAACTAATATGGGTACAAACAGTCCTAAGATCAATAGTGATTTTTAACATTGACATTTAATTGTGAATGTTTCATTACTGGGTTTGATGATTTGTTCAGGATCTTTGATCTGGGATGCAAATCTTTATTGTTAGATAATTGTAATTAACAAAAAAAGAGATTATTTTGACAAAGAGAAATCAAGTTTCTGTTAGCTCATTGTGAGATATTTGATCATTACAGACTGTAATACTTGAAGGTAATATTGGTAGAAAACTTTCATTTCTATGATATGTAATGTAAAAACAGTTCAATCTAACGGATCTTTTACGTACAAAATTAACCACACTAGTGAAACGAGTTTCTTTTTTCTGCCTTGATAGTTAACGCTTAAAATAACAGTGTATGCTACTGATGGTAATGAGTAGTATGAGATCAATCAAGTCAAATGGGAAGGAAATTATAAATACACTGCTTGTCTAATATGTTAGAGATATATCACATTTACAAGACAGATTTCCAGTCATAAATGAGAAATACCTCTTAATAATTATGAATGAGAAATGATATCTGAATCAAGCGAGTGAAAATAGTATTTTATAAATAAGATAATTTGAGAAGATCGAGGTAAGTGACACGTCGACTTCGGAATTCTTTAAAAGAAAAATATTAACTGACTTACGTATAGATTCATATGTTAGATAATGAAATTATTCTATTTAACAAAGTTACAATTTATGGAGATGAAGTTGATAATGAAGAGAGAAATAAAAAAAGGCATATAAAATAACTTAAGTAAAGATGAAAAGTAGGTTAGGCAGATAAAATTTACAAATATCAAAAGATGTGCACTTAGGGGCGAGTTTAAATCATGTAATTTATATTCAGTCATATGAAACGAATTTCAGCCGGTAACACTAGATACACCTGACTATTTTCTCTACTGAACTAGTTCACTTAACACACCCGACATATAGGACGGCCTTATTTCACCATTGACTATGAGGTTTTTATTAGTTGTACACAAACGTATTTACTATCGACAATTTGTTTCTGTGTGATTTATTGAAACTGTCAATAGTATGTATTCCAGTATCAGTCAACTGATACAATCGATCTAAAAACTTAGTAGTAGTGATTGTGCACTTATGCACCATAACGTTTGACTGACTGATGCGGGCTTATTCAAGACTAGTGTCGTCTTAGTTGGGCTCATACTGAGCGAGAAAATCAACCAGGTCAAACTACATGCTTATATTGAACAAAAATGCACCAGTAACTATATGAGTACATAACTGCACACAAATACGTGGGTGTACGCGAATGTAAATCCACTAAAAAAGATATGCGTGTGTGTGATAGAGTTAATTGATTCAAGTTCACAATGGTGCATTGGTTGAAATTTCAGACCGTCGTCAGAACTAAATCACTGGATCATGAATATGTATATCAATTGAAAAAAAGAATCAAATTGTAATGGCTTTATTAATATCCAAAATGCATGTCGAACAGAATTGAAAATAAGCAATAGGTAGAAGAAAAGTAATTTATAAAAAAACGTAAAAGGTATTACAAAAAGACGTTGAATATAGCGTTTAAGTAAATATGTTAGATAGTGAGTAGAAGTGGATGTAACTAAATCGGTACAATATGTATTCAAACTAAGACTCTTAATTGGCAGACCAGAGAAATTGATTTTGATTCTAACTAGTGTATCCGTTTCGTATGTTTGCTTTTGTCAGAAAATTTCAATCACAACCATTGTCGATATGCTAGTGTGATAGATAGAATATTGAGCAGTTCAATTAATCGTTAGTCAGTTGTTTGTCGTTTAGAAAAATGTACATGACCTAAATACGCACCAGTCAACTGAAAAGGCACTGATCTGATGGTTCATAGACTAATGCTTTGATCCCAGTCATTATTTTGATGCTAGAGTAATGATTTAAAAATCGTTAGAATTCAATAGGATCGATGAGGTATGAACAAATACCTATCTTGTATATACATCGAGGTTGTGTTTGTCAATAATTATCAAGTTTGAATAACGACCTGAGAACGTTTGCTTAAGAGCCGATTTAGCTCCCTCAGTGATACGCATTTTTCGTACTAGAAGATCCATAAGAACTCACTCTAAAAATTTCTCTTGTATCACGAAGCAAATTTTTGTTTATGTTTAAGGCATCTGGTGAATATAAGTGCACTTGGTTATTGAACGAGATCGTAAGAGAACTCAGTGACGTCAACGACACAACTCGCTTCTACTACAGAAGATAGACTGTACGACAGAGTGAAATGTATGTAACCAGATGGTTTTATCGTAGATATCCTTCTAGAGATAACGCGTTATCGCTTGACATCCCAGTGACTGATTAACAACCGGGAGATTCACTTACTGACTTAGAAAACCCATACGAAATAGTTTTGCTCCGTGGTGTTAACAAGAGTCTTCTGATTACCTTGAGCAACAATGCAATCATATTTGGGATGTAATTCTCCTTTCCTAATTTGTTTAAGGATTGTTCTGATTCACGGACTAAACTGATAATCGGGATCATCAAGTGAGCAATGCCGAATTGATTGGTGAGATATGCGATCACCATCCACTGAGGTAGGTGGCGCATTTATTGCACATGCCCAACCACTATCTACCTCAGCAGGTGATGTTTATTGGTGAGAAATGGAGGAAAGCTAGGAGCCATCAAATAAAGACTTGGTATTAGTTCATGAATTCATTAACTGTATGCTTGAAACGTGGTTGTGGATCCAGTCTAACTGTTAGTGAGTGCACGCGAATATCGTAACTAGTGGTTGAAGACATTGGATGACAAAGATTAGAATTGATCACGATGCTACACACATAACCCTTACGTGTTGAGTTTTAAAACACCATTTACTTTCCTATTTTATGAATTCAGTCTCTTTCGAATCATATCGTCCACGTTTAATCTTTTCTACTACTACTTTTACCACTCTGGGATTTGTTTTGGCGATTTCATATCATTGTGCTGAAATGGTGGGGCAACTTGAACCAATGCACAAGACCCAAGTTTTACATTGGTTGTGATTGACTGATATAAAATTTTGTTTCAGTTCAGAAATAATAAGTATTCTATTGTATATAACGCTTAGTTATCTTTCCTGTGATTTTATTCATCTAAAATCAGGACAACAATTGCGTTGTCATAGTCTGGGTATTCACAATAGTGCTAAAATAAGGGAATTGTGATAGTCCATAATATTAAGAAGATAACAATTAAATGAAATTCTTATTTTAGCTTATTAATTTGGGCTGTTAGACCAAATTGAAATTTACATCTCCATCTACCATTAAGGTTTCCTAGATGATTTACATGTTATCCAAACGAACAATCAAAAGTATGAATTCAGATTTCACAAGGAAAACAAAGTCGAATTAATCAAATCGCCAAGAGGATCACAAAATTATCGGTTTTCATTTTAGAGGAGGATTAATACATGAACATAAATACATATTAACAAAAAGTGTAGAATGGAATGTTTTATATGTATAATAAGATATCAGTAGAACAAAAGGAAGGCGTGCTTGAAAGAAGTCTAAAGGGAAAGTATGTGTGCTACAAGTGTAGACTAAAGTGAAATGTTGAAACATAAAACGAACACATGAAATTATTTCTGAAAAACAAATGACTGACGATAACTTGATAAGAATCCACATTAACATCAATGCATCACTAATTTGATTAATTATCTATCAATTGTTTATTAGGTAAGGAAAGCATTATAACTATTGTTATATATATACTGAATACAAAAGGGTATATAGTCATATTTTATACTGTTGCTTTAAACACATTACAAAACAATGTCACTAAATAAAAAGTGAAATTAAGAAAAAAGCTATGAAACATTTATCATACAAACAAGTCTTGATAACTAATAATGCATTTGCGAGTAAATTTTTTCACGATTCGAGGTATTCATTTTTGTGATACAGTTCCTGTTTAATAATAACTATATATATTTTTATGTACAAGATGATTAAGAAATTTGTGGTATAAATAACATGCTAAGCATAATTCAGTTTAATTTCGGTATATATGTATTTCTTAACATAGGATATGTAAGAAAAGTAGTTTACGTAGATGTTGGGCAAGGACGTTTGGATTTAAGAATCATTGAACGTCTACTACGCGAACCAGATGATGAATAAGCATTGTCTGGATTTATATAATCATCGATAGGTTTCGCTGCGTTTATAGAGGATAATCGAACAGGTAAATCATCTGGTTGATCAGATGGATGAAAAGCTTTAGGACGCGGTATAGTAAGAATAATTGGAGGACGGTGTTCATCGTGTTCTTCATAGGGTTTGGTAGGTATGTCAGGAGAAAATGCAGCATGTCCGTTTAAATGAGCAGTATGTAGAATTTCATCAGGTAAAAACTGATTAGAGGATTCTGGTTTAATACCAAGTTCAATGGAGTCACTTTCAGTACCAGAAAACCGTCTTTTTCTATTCGGAGTGTTTTGAGGAGATACATATTCTGAATCGTTTTGACGATGTTTATGAGGTGTTGAATTGTGATTTAAATGTGATAGGGTTTTGTTAGAAGCAGCTCCCAAAGCTGATATATTCGCGTTACGCCCAGGAGAATTAGCTAACATTAGGAGTTGGCTATCAGTATACAGAAAATAATCATCTCTATTCAACCTACTAGAACACATGGCTGCAGATTTAAAGCGTTCCGGAACGTGAGCATGAACGCCCAATATGTGTTTCCTTACATCTCCAAAACCATGATGTGATGTAGTTAGACATGCACAGCAAACATAAATGCGTTGAGTAATATTGGGAGTTTCCCTCATACGAGTAATATAAACAGAATGTCTAGCATAAACTTTCATGCGTTCATGCAAGCTACTAATAAAGCTATCACCATCAGGTAGAACAGACCTAACTTGATGATCAAAAACAGCAGGACTATACAAGAGTCGAACGATTCTTTCCAAAGCCCATGAAGCAGGTAAACCTAGCTTTTGGCTCCATGTAACCGACTCTTCGGGAGTAAGTATGCGACGAGGAGCTTCAAGATCCAGGCCATTATGTCGTTCTTCGAATGAATAAGGGTTCGGTTCTGGAGACTTAGTAGAGTTCATATTAGATGATGTTTTACCATTGGGTCTGTTATACTCTGGGGGTGGTGACTCATCTGGTTCACTTGGTTCATACTTAACAGTTGGAGCACGCAACATGGGTGGTAAAGGATGGTTCGAGGAATATGAAGACGAATGATGTAGAGCTACTTGACTAGGTGCAGAATGGTTGAAACCCATACTTGAGTAAGATGTGTTTGATCGTTGATTAACTGAACTAACGGAACTGGTAGGTACAGACAACTCTGAGATTCCTTCTATATCATTGGGTATGATAGGTTCTAAAGGACGTTTAATTGGAGATATTCCACCTTCCGATTTACGACTATAACTCTGAATTCTTGTGCTTCGAAATTTGTGTTGTTCAGCTAATGCCAAAAGAGAAGTATCTGCATAGAGCTTATATCCAGACTCTTTAGAAATGCGAGACGCCTGGCAGCATAATGTTAGTAGTTCTTGAGGGATCCTGGCATGCACTCCCAAAATATGACGTCTGCAATCAGCTAGACTTGCTGGTCTAATATCGCTTTCAACTTCATCACGAACAACCTGTGAAATGGAAAAGAAATCAGTGATGATGCAAATCAATTGACACTGCTAGCACTAGAACAGATTTTCCGAAGACAAACCTTTACACTAGGAATTGTAGATAAACAAAAAACCATTACGACAAATAGACCCAAAATTTACGCTAATATATATGAAAAAAGCCAAATTTTAAATAAAGGACTCACCGCGAAACGACGTCCACATATGCAAATGTACGAGTAAATTCGATTTCCTCGTGAGACAACAGTAAGATGATGCTTAGAGTAGACTTGCATCTTGACTACCAAATCATCGTATTGATCAAACATACCTTCCCGCTCCAGCAAGACGCGCAGTACATTATCAGAGAAAGGTAATTCAATACGACGGTGGATCTCCTCGTTTTGCTTAACATTTTCATCCGAATACGTATTAGGATTATCATTAGCAACTACAATAGAGTTATCATGAGTTTTGGTTGGAGTGACAAAATAGTCCTCGGAGTTTAGATTTACGTTGGCGGTGAGAAAACGATTATCACTCTCTTCATCAGCTCCGTGAACTCCTTCCTGATGACTATCGTCGTACAAATCTGTCTCGATAGTTTGTGTTTCTAGTTCTTCTTGATCATTGAGTGATACCTGAGACTTGTTAAAATCATTTGAGAATTGATTATTTTCATCATTCACTACTTGGGAATAAGTTTCATTTGAATCCTCCTTTGCTTCTTCGGCATCACTATCAATCGAAGTGACTTTAAGGTTTGATCTTGAATCGGTTAGTTGTATTTGTCTTCGCCTATGATCTTCAACGAATCGAATCATCCTGTCATCTGAATGTAAACGATAAGTTGTAGTATCATGTCTGGAAGCCCGAAGACAGAGTCTGAAACGCTTAGTAGAAATACCACAGTGAGACCCCATAATATGTTTACGAATATCGGCTAACGAGTGTACTGAAGTATACATGCAAGTCGGACAAGAAAAACGTTTTTGTGCTCCACCAGGAACCAGAACATCCATTATGACATGCATTCGAGCATAGTGGTTCATACGATTGACAAGTTGAATTCGTTCTGGCATCGGGACTTGATATGCTTCCAGTAAACGATTAAATACTGGGAATGAATAAGCCAACTGAACGCGCTGACGTCCAACTTTAGGAAGAAAGATTTCTGTACTACCTGAATAGGTGGACGTTTGGGGTTGACCCGCAGCAACAACAGCAGCAACGATTGGATTACCCATCTCATCCAGAGGAACAATACCGCCTCTACCGATGGGAGCTTGAGCAGAAACTTCTTCCAATGACCGCATGTCTTCGTAATGATCGGAAACACCAGTCCCTGGGATAACTCGGTGAACTGGAGCGCCACCTGAATAAGAAGAACCAGACGTTACTAAGGTTGGAAGACCATCAGAGGAAACAGTAGCCAGTGGTTCTGTTGGTGATTTCCGAGAGTCTTCGTACTTACCAGGCGTCGGACGTTTACAAAGAGGATTGGAGAGTGGTGAAATTGGAAAAGGTTTACGACGGAACGCTTTGCCAGAGAGACGTCCATTTCGGATTCCGAAAGAGTGTTTTGACTGCGGTGAATTGTCAGAGTTAATAAGTGAGTTATTAGTTTGACTAGGTAATGTGCTATGATGGCTCCTACCGGAATGAGTGAAATCAATAGTAAAACGCGATATATCACGGCGAACGCCAAGATGAGTTACTAGAAGATGTTTCTTGAGGTCTGTGAATCCATGATTAAATGGTTTCAAGCATTCCGGACAACCAGCAACACGACGCTGATTCGCGCGACCAAGAATAGGGACACGATAACTGGCGAAACGACGCAACTTTTCCAGGACACCGTTTAGTTCATCATTTGTAGTATCGTTATTAGGATTAAATTTTTCATTTTTCATATAAGCAGTAACAAATGCTTGTTCATTAAAGTATAGTTGTACATATTCTTCTGCAGCCGTCTCAGTGACACTTTCCTGTTTAGAATCTGCTATATCAGGAGGTAGGTTAGAGGTGACAGGCCTATTGTTAAGATTCATGTCTGTGCTTGGCTTTTTTAGTTCATCATTATCACCTTCAACACCGACATGCTCTTCATTATCTCCAACTTCATCAGCTTCACAACTATCAATAGATGATGGGGCATGAATACTTGATAAATGTTTCGTAACTTCAGCTGAAAGATTGGAGGCGGTTGAACAAAGTAACGGAAGATCGTTGTGTAAATTGGTTCCGTCGTTAATATGGAGCAAAGTTGAATTTCCAGAGGAGAAAAAATTTGGTAGTTGTTGAAGTGGAGAATTGCGTAGGGTTTCCATATTTTTGCTAATAAAATTATAGTTTTCAGTAATAGATTCATCAGATATAGGAACTGTAAAGTCTTCAGTGACCACTCCGTCTTCCTGTAAATAAATGTCGATAAAAAAACAATGGAATATAATATGTCGTTCGTAAGATGTACAAATGTGGAGAGTGTTGACTAGGAACCGAAACTAAGAACACATTCAAAGAATACATTGCTATGTGAAGTGGATTGCTGTTTATTGCACTTGTCCCTTGGTTCGCCAACACAAGTGACGTATACTGCTAGAACCTACGAGACTTTTCTGAGTGTCAATATTTCGTCAGACACCAAACCACTAAGGCTAATGAGATGTTGAAAATAAGTGGGTCGGTTGGTGCACTTAACTACTTCAATCCTGATCATTAATTAAAGCGTTGATGTAGAGTGGTTCTGACGCACTTAAGGGAGGGCAACTCATTACAAATATGCATGTATTGTTGGCGAAAGCGTTCATAATGATCTGAATCTTAACAGCATCTTCATAAAATAAAACTTGGTAATGTGAGTACTCTACATTGATGAGTGAGGTACTAAGAAGATCAAGTTAGATGGTGTGGTTTATAGAAAGAATATGAAGCATCTAGAGATTTTATAGATATATTCAGTGAGCTTGCAGGTCTTACGATGAAATAAGAGGACGAAAACTTTGAAAGTGCATATCCTGTGAATTGTAATACACATAATAGCGTAATTTATCAATCAAGTAAAGCACAGGTTTCAACCACATAACTTATGTGAAAACGAGTACAATTGGTCAGATTGAAGAAAATGCTTAGTAGACAAAGCACTAGTTTAACCAGTGGGTTGGAAACCCATTCAATTTGTCTTTGACTTGGATACTGAATTTTTAATAAACAATATAGGTCAACAGGGGTGCATGCAATCATATTCGTTAAACCGGTAAAACGCGTCTGAATTCACCTGAATTTGTCATATTTACAACATCCTATTTGAAAACCAATGCAGTAGTTGGAAATTAAGGCTTCTAGAGGACTTAGTTAATTCTCCATCTTACGCTATTGGTTAGTAATTGCAGAAACTTAAATTTTGTTTACAAGTACTCTGAAATCAAAGATATGGCGGAATTAACACCCTGATCCTACTAATCAAGAATCTCAAACTGAAGGAGTATATCAGCTCTGACTTGCTATACTCATTAGTATTTGTAATTAAAGTTAATTAAAATTAATTATAAACAAGAGCTCAAAGTTCATAACTGGTAAAGTGGAAATAACTGATTTTTGACGGTTAAATTTGTGTACAAAAACTAACCTCACTAAGCAAGGGATGCATATCATGCAAGTGTTCTGTTAGCATATTACGAACATTGGTCATCCAACCGCATTCTGAACAACGATGGAGGACACAGGTGACGGACAGAGAAGTTATGAGCAAATGAGAAGAAATAGCTCGGCACATTGCCAAATGTTGAGCAAAGTTTTCTAGGTGAGATGTACCAAATGAACAATGTGCACAGAAAAATGCTGACGGAACTCGGCGGTTTAATTTCGAAATGTCGGGTGGATGGGCTTGAATGCGTGTTGGTCGTACCGATGAAGGCCAAGAACACATGAACTGAAATAGATACTAGAGGTAATAATGGCAACATACCGAATAAGTCGTGGTTACAAGAGGACTGTTAGTTCCGTGAAACTGAAGCGCGTGCTTTTTTATTATTTCCACATTTTTTGATTTGACACGACAGTTAGGGAAGCGACAGTGAAACAGAATGAGTGTATATTTTCGGAGGTGTGATTTTAACTCCGTAGGTGAGTTCATTGATCTATCACAATGACCACATTTGAAAAACACATCGCTTTTATCGATGTCATGGAGACTTAGAGCGTGTTGACCCAGAGCTTTCATAGTACCGAACGATCTAGGACAACATGGACAGGTAAAAGGAAGGTTCTGGGTATCTATTAGACCAAAATGCATGTCAATGTGTTTCGAAATTGATACTGATGAGACCAGCTCGGAGCAATAAATACAACGAAGATTTTTTGTTTCGGGATGAGTAGATCTGATGTGTATTTCTAAGCCATGTGATTCATTTGAGCAAATAAGGTAGACAGGAGAACAGAGTGTGCAAAAATACTTGTCAGGAGAGTTTTCCATAATATTCAACACTGCTTCGTCGCTGATGGATTCCATGACTCTTATAAGAGTACTGCCTTATTGACCTTGATAATCGACAGTACGGATAATGACCCCTTCGAAGTGTAGAACACCTAGTTTGAAATTGCACAAATTGCAATCAGATTAAACAAAAATATAATAAATCAAAAAAGAACAATTTTTCCAAATCTACTTTCGAATGAAAAATATAATAAAACTTGTTGTTAAATTTTAGAGTTCATTCAATTAGGACGTTTACCGCTTATATTAAGTGATATGATATCGTGATATATGTTTCTGTTCGTTCTGGTTACATTGTGTCACCTTAGTTTTCTCCCGATACATATATGTCGGATCCATTATTTTAACCTTAAATGAAGTTCGCTGAGAGACTAAATGCTCATCTCACTCCAGAATGGAGGACTCAGTACATAGATTACGATGTAAATTCACATAAATAGTTTTTCATGTCTTCAGGAATTGAAGGAACACCTTTATAAATATACACAAGTTTTGGAAACTCTTCCTTGTAGGTTCAATTTTTGTATACATCACTTACAACATAGTTTTCTCTGAGGAAGAAACTAAAGCATTTTTGGATGAATGTGACGAAGAATTTTTTAACCTATGTGAAAGTGCCTTGAGGAAGATTGAGGTGTTTTTTTCTGGTGAGACTGAAATCGTTTATTGACAGCTGAATTTAGAGAAGATTGCCGAAGCTAATCGAAAGTTCACCACTTTAGTAGATGAACTTGATAACTACATTGAGTCTACTCATCATAAATCTATTAGTTGGATTGCAGGTTCTAAAGCCTCACTTTCGAGAAGACTAACAGAATCATTTGGAAGAGAAGGTGATAAATGTAGGGCGTCTGTAAGGGAAAATGGTTCAGCTAACACACCGATTTGGAATAAAATCAGCAAAATACAGTCGGAAGAAAACTCGGAGTTACGTCGCCGTCAGAGCCGGTCAAAACAGTCTGAAAATCCGAAATATGATGCTCAAAGATTGGACAGAAGAAAGAAGACCTTTAGAAAGTTACATGATTTGAAGCTAGCTTTCAGTGAATTTTATCTAAGTCTTGTTTTACTGCAAAATTATCAATCCCTTAATTTCACGGGATTCAGAAAAATATTGAAAAAGCATGACAAGGTAAGAAAGGCTTGTGATTACCTTGATTTTTATCCCTATTTATCAAGTCACTTTTTCAGCAATGACAGTTTGACATTATGAAAACTATGTGAAGCATTTCGTTCTAATCATTCAGACTCATATTCTATATGAATTGATTTGCTCGATTATGTCCATGTACTTGTAAGGTGAATCTTGTAATACTGGTTTTTTTATTCATAATTACCGAGGAGAGTATAGGTCGTTAATGCTATGGTCAAATGAACAAGTTTTACGAAAGCCTTGATCATTACTTCAAATGTGTGAATGATAGCAAACAATTATTCTCTATTTGGTGACAAGAAAATCAATTTTTGGTGTTCTCATGGTTGTTATTATACATACGCTGCTACACATGTCACTTATTATCTATAGACGCCAGCGTTTATTGTATCTGTGACATTACCAAAAATTTTCATATTTTTATACACGACTCAATTCGTCACTAATTTTCTAATCTGGTCCCACAATTTTTCTTGATTACTTTCGAAGTTATTTTTTCTTAGTCTTATATGAGTTATCACTGTACATCAGTGTCAACGATAACTTGTAGTAAATGCACATGACCTAGCTACCTTCACCGGTCCACAAACCTTTGAATGAATTGTCCTCATTATCTAGAAGTTTGTCCTTAATTTTATTGCTTACTCACTACTTTAATCATTGTGATATTCATCAACAAAAGCCTGTGATCTGCTCATACTCTCCATCACTTATGGTTATATTATGACCGCATTGTAGTAAAAGCAATTCATTGAAGATTTCACCTATCTTCGCTAAAATATCCTGATGTCTTACTAGTTTTATTAGTGAATTAGTCCACTAAAAAGACAAAGAGCTTTCTATGATTGTTGTTAAGTCTCTTTAGCTGACATATTTCTGACCAAGTAGATCAGTATAGATGAGAAGCCCATATTTTTAGACTAGATACCTATTCAAACCAGTTTTGCAGCTTTTCTTCAATTATAGAAAATACAAAACATGTTTATGTCGCTTAAATTATTTTGGATCAATTTTGAGTATTTATCTACTAAGCTGTGTCATTCAGGTGCCACAAATGTATTATAGGGGTTCCTAGTAAAAACCCGATCTTATGACGATGCGGTTTAATGTCAGTATATTCATGAAAGTTGTGAAGGACATTCTTAATATACATCATCATTAATGCTGACATTAGAGGTGAATTTTTCACATGACTTCAAAGAGAGTCCCGTTAGCAACACAATATATTTTATTTACACTTTTAAATTCATACGGTTCTATACAACATGCCTGGAAAAATCTGATGTCGCCTTGTGTCTGAGGAAAATAGACATACGGGTGCAAAAAAATAACTTTATTTTGAAAGGCAGTAAATGATAAAACTCCACCCAATAATATTCCCGACAGACCTGAAATCCAACTAATTTCCGCAGATTTGTTGTTACACGTCTGTTACTAGTTGTTTTATGTCTATTTTATTATGTTCATGAATAATTATGTATTATCACTAGTTTCTAATCACCTTTTGTGTCTTGTGATATTCACGAACATTAAGGTGGCTGATTTAGTTTCCATATTTAACTGATAGTTCCTATTCAAATGCTTCTGGATTCATGGTAAACCGTATTGGTAGAGTTGTGATTAATCACAGTTAGCAAGGTTTATCGCTTAGTGGTTTATTCATTTGACTTTCCGCAATTAATCACCATATAACTTTTGGTTTTGTTTTAAGTATATGTTGAGATGCAATGAGATTTAGGATAAATCTTATTCTGTAGTATTTAGCTAAATTAATCTCTGTTTTATAAAATATGTTAGGCATTTTAAACTTTGGCAAACACTTTTAGATATCTCTCATTGATCTTTTAATCTTTTTAATGGGAGTACATAGCTTCAATGTCTTTTATTTATAGCTTCTTCGCCGAAACACAGGACTACTTTGGCGGCAACAGGTGGTTGAGTGTGCACACTTCAATACTAGTAGAGAGGTTGATGACCTTATTACAGAGGTTGAGGTGAGTAATAAGGATTCATTATATGAGGTTTTGTATATAACTGGGTAGTTATCCGACAAACCTACATAATTAGATAGGAAAAGAGTGAGGTTAGTACCTAAGCATGCTGGAAATAGGAGCTGGCCGTGATCTGTTCTCTCGTGAAAGGACGTTGGTGTTTCGTCACCTGTTGTTAAATGAAAGTAGGAGAGTAGTGGTGGCTGGCATTTTTTGTAAGTGGTTATTTGTATGTTCTGCTTTAACATAAGCTAAGTAGTACAGAGTATCAGGACAAATAATGATATGATAATTTTGACATATGTCTTATTTATTAGTATTTATCAGCTGAAGTCATTCATCGATAGTGTTCTTAAAGTAATTACGGTTATATTTGTAATGCTTATCGTGTTCATCACAGTGAGCCGATATGAGCGATAAGTTTTAAAGCGCATATTTGTTTGCTGGTCAGAAATGTGAGAGATGACTTCCTTTAAACAGGTATAGTGATTATTGAATAATAATCGTGAAAAATTGTCGGAGGATAGTAATCGCTGGTTGTCGTTTGAAAGGTATAAAATAGTGATAAAGACAGAAAAAGATCTAAAAATATTAGGGAAGTAGATTTGAACCATGAAAATATAAGATTTTACTGATCTTGCTTTTGCGAACAGATTTCAGGCTTGCATTGGTGGATTTCCAGTGCCTATATAGGGCACGAATATATAGTTAGATTTCCTTTCGACCCCGTTATTATGACCGCATAGATTGTTTTAAAAGATGACCCTTTTAAGGGTGTGTGCCCAGAGTTGATGAGACACTTCTGTATCAAGCTACTAGTTACTTTGAATTCCCCTTATAAAATCGTGCTGGGTAATGTTTTGAAATGCGTTTAAAGAGTGTTCGGTTTTTGCGGCTCACGATACTTAAAATCACGGATAACCTTACGATTCGATCTCTTTATACTCTTCTATGGCTCCTAATAGCGGTTGATGAAATAAATATAAGCACCTTTGCAGGGTATCATTCATAAGCTATGGTCGCAATTCCGTTTTCAATTAATCTGTATGTTGGTAGTTCCTAGTTTTATCCACAGCTTATAATCTATTGAACCTTAACGAATTTGTGGGCATTTTTAACGCTAATGATGGTAGTTTTTAATAGGTTCTGAAATCAATACACATCATTTCAATATCTTTCTTTGTCACAGTATCCTACTTTTGAAAATTCATTCTTTTTACCTCTTTAACGTAGAATATATTTACGGAGAAACTAGAACAAGGTGATAGACAAAAAGCAATGAAACGACTGCGAGTGCCTCCACTTTCCGAAAAGGTAAGCAAAAATTCCTCTGATCGTCTTGCTGTTATGTATTTTTTAACATTTTAGCGGTGCTCTATCAGTTTTGTTATCGTTCTCAACAAGAGACCTTCACATATCCACTAAACCCAATATGTAACTTCGGTTGGAAAACGAATATTTCATTTTTTTAATCTGAAACCATTTTCTGAGAAAATCTATTAGGCGGTAATTATGTTTTGATTCATAATACAAGTTGCTTTTAGTAATTGTATATTAATCGATAACTAATTCTGGCTAAATACTACTAAATACAGAATTTTTTTAAGATTTTCAAAACAAGTAGTATCTATTACAAAATGCCTCAACGCTTTTTCCGGCAGTTAGGAAATCCCATACCATTCGTGTCATTTGGTTATTTGATTTATTTTAATCGCAGGCTACGGTAATGATATGTTTTCTTCACAAGATTTTTAAAAACAACTATTAAGTTAGAGCCGTTGGCTGATTCTCGTTTCTTTTTCTTCAACGACAACAGTAACAGTAGCAAAGACGGACTCGTCATTTCCTTCCTTTTCTTAAAACTAACAAATTTCTAAACTCTCGTATTACTTCTAAAATCATTTGAACTAGGAGCTAAAACAACAATGTAAAACCTGAAACACTACGCGAAAATCCACCAGTTTGATTC